TGACTTCTGTATTCGATCCAAGGGCTCGTATTTCCCGAAGCCTTGAAGAAGACCTTAAAGAGTCGTCAAATAAGTGTTTTTTTTTTTTTTTTTTTAGTTTTTATCTACGTGAGTTGGAGAATAAGGTCATGGAGAATTCCTAGGTTATTGCAGTAAACCAATGATCTAAGATAATCTCAAAGAAAAAAGATCAATGGAATTATATATAGCACAATGACGTTCTTGAGACATTCAACTTCTGCCTTAATAAGTTGATTGTGCCACAAGATATATGACATGTTGCATCATTTTGTTGAAATCGCTTAATTTGTGCTACTAATCACGTTTCTATGGCTTTTCCGTGTTAAAAAATGTGACACTTCAAGTCCATAAACCACACGTAAAGCTCATGCAGAAGTTTTAGGAACATCACAGTTTCTACTAAAGGGGAAACATTTCCTTATTACGAAGTCACTTAACCAAATATGACCTCCATCCGATATGAAGGAAACGCAATCATGGATTCATTGTTTGTCGCGATGTCCGTTGATTGATTAATGGAAAATAATTTCTCAATCACAAGTGTGTTTTTTCAGCATTTTTATATTCAGCAATACGATATCATGTTTTTTGTAGTCAAAAGTTTTTTGAATTTTTCAATTTTACTACGCAATAACTTTTCTAAGTCTTTATTGTCTTTATTATTAACTGTGCAAGGATCTTCTTCTTTTGTTTTTTTTTTTCAGTGAATAAACATTTGTTTTTACTTTCGTAACGATTGCGCGTATTCTCCGCCTACTATTAAACGTAAACCTTCAAAAATATCTAAAATATTAAATTTATAAAAAAAAAAAGATGCATTCAAATGAATATAGTGTTGTCCCAAACGATCCATCTATACCATCTTCACTAGTTGCAATCATCGCAAGAGTGTGCTTATAAAAATAAGGATTCACCGAATATTAGTCAATCTAGTCTAGTTTTAATGAGTAATGAGAAACACGTTATATTTCTAACATTTATTTATAAATAAAATCCCGAGACAGGGCGTGAATAAGGGGATGAATAAGGAATTGGGCTAACATTTCCCCGCAGAGCAATTGCAATTCTCTGCGATATAGACTCGTAGAGTATCTGAATATTTTGCAATGGAATATTGTCCCATTCTTGTAGCGAAACATTCACTGATTACTTTAATGATGTTAGAGATGAAGATCTGCATCTCACTCTCTGCTCTAAAGCTATCCGCAACAGTTCAATTATCTAGAGGTCTGGTGATTGTGCTGGCCACGGAAGAGATCTGATTATATGCTGGCGCTCTACAAGCCAAGATTGAACGTTTTTAGCTGTGTATATTAGCACATTATTATCTTGGTATATGACAGGGTTTGACAGCAATCTACTAATTGTAGTAAGAACTTCATCATTGAGGATAGCGACATATTCATTCGCACTAGCTCAGTCAGTGATGTGAACGCGAGGATTAACTGAATACGATAATACAGTCGTATAAATCATAACGGAACATCCCACATTTCTGACCGTAGTAAGCTGACAGTTTGTATCGTAGGCTTGTTTTTTGACCATGTTTTTTCTCCATACATAAGCCCGGGCGTTTACAGGAAACAATATGAATGATGAATTGACGGATCATACGACATGCCTCCAATAATCGAGTGTCCAGGTTTTATGATCATGACACCACTTCTGCCGCAGTTTATCATTGCGATGAAGAAAAGTTAGAAAATTATATTCAGTTGTGGCCAAACCTTTTATACTCTTTATATGTTGAAGTGTGAATATGCAATTATTTTTTTGTTGTACTATATGAGTTGTGAGAAAACTGCAAACTTTTTGTCGCTTCACCGATTGACCTATTTGGAATACTCGCTTACCATATCCAAATTTTATGCCAAACTTGAAGCCGATATTTTCATTTCTGCGGCTAAGAGAATAGTTATAGCCAAATAAAAAGACGGACAGGTAGAGAAACGAATTTGCCTACATATCTATTACATATACATATTATCCATCCATAATCCATTTAGGTAAGTGGGTATTATTAACCAATCCATGAGCGCAAATTTGTCTATCCATGTGTCCATCTCTTTTTTTGCCTATAATTATTCTCTTAGCCGTGAAAATGAAGATATCCGCTTCAAATTTGGCATAAAATTTGGAAATGGAAATATATTTATATATATATATCGTAGGAAATATAAATTTCAGTTTCAGTTTAATTTATTAATTAATAATAATAGTTATTAATGACAATTTTATTTTACAATAATAATCCTTACTATAATTAATAATTAATGAGCCATTAAGACTAAGAAGTCTCTTTCGGCACAGTCGTGAACAACAGTATAGGCAGAGATGTAAAGAACGTAACCTAACAATATAAAACATAAAACCAAGATTCAGGGGCGATCATAAATTATAAAAGGCCTTTATAGCTATTTTCAATCAACTCATCATTTTGATAAGGGGTGGTAATGAGTTCGATGCAGCGTTACAAAAAATCGCCTCGATGATGTTAAGTAGGTGATGGCCCGTTGGAATTTCACGATACGAAGTTTCTCATGTAAATATCTTGGTATTCGGGTCCGTATAATCTTGTGTAGAAAGAACAAATTTCTAACATTAAGATATATGTCTGAAACTCGGAACCCAGTATCTGCAGCTAAAATTGCGATTTCCAAAATTTATTGCCACTTATTGAAAATGTGCTTAGCGCACCTATTTATGCAACTTCCATTTTTTTGTTAGAAACGTAATCTAATTATGCATGCGGTCCGTATGACATAACCGGCACAATAAGACATTTAATCAATCTTGATTTAGTGAAGATTGGAACATAAGATCTCTAACAAAGAATAGGGATCATGTAGCCTGTAGTTGATATTACAATGTGCATAGTTTTCGTTGAATTTACTTTAAACCGTTAAAATCAGATCATACAGTAATACGGTCTAAATCATTATTTGTATGCTGAACCAGAACCCCCACAAGTCCAACTGAACGCGAGAGGTACCAGGATACCAAGAGATCATCAGCATACCAATGAACATTAGAATCGCGACTAAGACACAAAATAAGATAGTCCACCCAAATTGCTCCGAAGAATAATCGCCAATAACCACTCAGTGAAAGCAATTTTCCAAATAAGAACAAATTAAATTAATCGCAGATGAACTGAATCCCTTACAAATAAGTCAAGTTTTTGCGTTATCTTTTAAACGGACCCGAACACCAAGATGTTTACATGAGAAAATTCAGACCCACATCAAAATGATAAGAAGATTTAAAAAAGCTGTAAAGGCCTTTTATAATTTGTGATCACATCTGAATCTTGACTTTATGTTTATTATATGTTACACGCTTTTTCTTATATTATCTCTATCTTTACTGTCGTTCGCGATTGTATCGAAAGACGCTTTTTAATTTTACTGACAGATTAATTATTAATTATAGTAATGATTATTATTGTATAATGAAATTGTCATTCATAATTATTATTATTAATTAATAAATTAAACTTAAACTTAAAAATATGCAAAAGAAAACTACAATCCGAGCTATTTTTGTACAAGCGCTTAGTATATGAAAATAGGTTGGATGAGAATACAACCTACTTAAGCCACGATTTGGTAGTCGAACTGCTGTTTTTGCCTTTTTGGCCCCGTTTTATGTAAGAGAGCGAAGATCCTTCGCATAGAAAAATTTTCGCTATTAAATACATCTACTCGCATGTTAAAAATCCAATAAATGACCTATGAACAAATTGGTTTTAAATAAATAATTACTATAATAACAACAGAGATGTGCTTTCACCTTAACACGATGCATTTTCGATACGCTTTTGTGCGTGCATACGTGTTAAGTAAAGATATTTTGCAATATATGTGACGCACAAAAACCCTCAATAAAGTGAATTATTTCGTAACAAAAATGTTAACTAACTAAACTTGATTTGGGTACGATGGCGGTAGCCCAAGAAATACGATTAATTCAAAAGGGAAGCGTTAGAAAGACAACCACACGAGTAAGGAATATTCCAGTGCAGGTGCAGGTGGCCAAGTTGACATGTGTAATCGTTTTGTAATACATCGATTATTGAAATTTTTAAAATAATGTTTGTTAATGTTTAGTCTTTTATGTTTAAAAATGTTTGCTAAATGGATTGAACAATCTTTCAATATAAGGTCGCGATTATTATTCTGGGAAAATCAAAATTATTGGTCTTACACGATGTTACTAATGAGAATTGACAAAAGAGCTTTAAAAAAAAATCGCCAGAACACGACTTAAAAGCACGCAATACATTGCTGATATCTTTGAAGACTTCCTCTACACACATTCAAGTTTGGGCAACGTCAATAAGAGCCCCGTAGAACAATTTTGAATAATTAGTCCGTAGAAGAAGTTGCATCTCTGATTTCTGCATTTCGTTTTATTTTACTTAAAAAAATTTTTATATAAAAACTATTGAATTTAACAACATATATATATATATATATATATATATGTATTTTCGTCTATCTATGACTTAATTAACTTTATATCTACCTATTACTTATTATCTATTATATATAGGGTATATATGGTGTATGTTTGTGTATACGTAAGAACTGATAAAAGATAATTAATTTTGTATTTGTGTACAATTGACTGATGTCTTCATTTTCGGTGTTGTATTTTTACAATAATAATTTAGAAAAGGCTTAAAATGAATCTTTAAAATAAAATAAAAAAAAAGCTTACGTTCACAATTTTTTGTTAAATAGTGATTAATAAATAAATTATAAATAAGAATAGGACAGAAAAACATAATTGCCGTTATGATAAACGAACATTTATCATCAAATATATACAACATACAAAAGAAAAATAATAAGCAGCTAGAGATGGGCAGACGTGTAATTAAGAAAATTTTAAATCTAAATTAATTAATAATTTCTATTGCTCTTACGCAGGCAGAAATCGCACATTTTGGTTTATTTATTTATTTTTTATTTTCGTTTTTTTTTTTTTGTCTTTTTAGAAGTTTTCTAAAGTATTTCTCACCAACAAAAAAAAATATACTTTGTTATCAAGTGTGCCGTTACAATTAATATAAGAGTATTAAAAATCTTATATTTAAGATTAAGGCACATTATAGCGATGTAATTATGTCTTTGATTAATTGGTCTTCAACAGCAGATACGATAAATGCATTGGCCGGGAATGCTTGTAATGCGCGCGTGAAGAAGTGTTAGTCAAATTTCTCTTGGTTTGGCATACAAATAAAGAATTTAGAACAACATTGATTTAAAAGAATTGATAGTTTCGTTAGCCAGCCGACTGGGCGATATATTGTCATTAAATAAACTGGAATGCCTGAGAGGATAATTCCAGTGCCTATGCCGACTGCAATTGGAGACTGGAAGACTGATGATACTACTAGAAATATACAGGTGATTAAAAAAATAATGGGCAAAGCCAAATTGACCCGTATTGGTCTCTCGATTTTAGGCTGCTTATAACGAAGCCACAATAACCCCGAAACGGATAATAATGTAAAAAGAGCTTCGACATAGCTTACATAGTTGATGAGCGAGTAAACATCTTTTATAAACAAAAGTATAAGCGTAAGAATACACTAAAATTATAAACAATTGACAAAAAATTTAATTTAATAAAGATTATCGGCATAAGGAATACGTTTAAAATGAAAACTTACCAAGAATATTAATGATGGTATCGGTGTCAAACAACTGATATTAATAAGTGATATGGCAGCGGGTAAGTGACCATTACGGGCTCCCACAAAAAATAACCGACTGGAGGCAAAAATGGCTCCATTTAAAGAGCCAAATGTTGAGCATGCTACAAAAAAGGGTATTAGCCATGACATAAAGCCTAACATTTTATCTCCGAAAGTTACGGCGACAGCATCGGAAGCTAAAATTTCGTCTGCCGTCAGCACCGAGAAATAGGCAACGTTTGTAACGACATAAATAATCGTTACCACTGGCATTGAAATACATATCGCCTTAGGTAAATTCTTATAAGGGTCCCTTAACTCTTCGGTAACAAAATTCAAATAATTCCAGCCCGAGTATGAAAATAAACCGTTATAAAAAGCTAACGCTATAAAACCAGGTGTTGTTAGTGTACCATCCATTGGTGAATCCCAGTGATCGGCATGGCCTGAGAACAAATACCAAGCACCAGCTGCTACGATTACTAATAAAGCGAATACTTTGGTTCCAGTAAAAATATCCGTTACTCTTGTGACCCATTTCACGTTGTAGCAATTGATGACAGTTAAAAGGCCTAGAAAAACAAGCAACTTTCATTTGTAAATTTATTTTAAAAATTTGATTACTTACATGTAATCATAGCTGCTAGTAATTGTACCGCCTCAATAGGGGCATCACAGGAAGGCCAAAACGGTTGCAATAAATACTGAGCAAATGTCAATGCGGTAATTGCATTACCTGTTGGCACGAGGATCAGCAATGCTACCCAGAGATAGAGAAAAGCCGCCAAAGGACCAAATGCCGCTCCTATGTATGCATAATCACCTCCTGATTTTGGTATCATTGTACCTACAAAAATAAATTACATCTTTTAGATCATTAAAATATTCGAAAAAACACTGCGTTATACATATATCATAAACATTTATCTATTGCAGTATGTATACTTTTAAAAAGGAGAAAAGTATTTTATTTTGTTTAACGAGAAAACTAAAAAGCTATGCATGGGTTTACCCTATAAAAGGCTTGAAAGGAAGTTCTCCTCAAATTCTAATCTAATAATAATTTCGAAAATAACAATGCAACAAATTTCGGGCATCCTCCAATACGTGGGCTCACATTTCTTTGCATAAAACTAATGTGTTATTTTTGATATTAGTTTGGCGAAAAGGAATCCATTATTTTTATATGAACTTTCAGGACTTTATTTAAGATGCTTCGGATTGTCCGATTTGGGTCAAATATGCACCGTTTTGTTGTATGATTTGTTGCCATTTTAAAGGTAACTTCAAAATGCCTCTCTCATAGAAGTCCTGGTCTTTATTTGCAAAAAACTCTGGTAGTCGATTTTCACAATCCTCCCTAGATTCCAATTTTTTATCATTAAAGAAATTTTGCAATGCAAGAAAAAGATGATAATCGCTTGGTGCCAAGTCCGGACTGTATGGCGGATGCATTAAAACTTCCCAACCAAGCTCCCGAAGTTTCTGGCGAGTCACTGTAGATGTGTGTGGCCTAGCGTTGTCCTGGTGGAACGCGACACCTCTCCTGTTGGCCAATTCTGGCCGTTTCTGGTCAATCGCTATCTTCAAACGGCCCAGTTGTTGACAGTAGAGATCAGAATTTAGCGCTTGGCCATATGGAAGCAACTCATAATAAATAATCCCCTTCCAGTCCCACCAAATGCATAGCAAAACCTTCCTGGCCGTTAGTCCTGGTTTGACCACCGTTTGAGGTGCTTCACCGCTCTTTGATCATGATCGTTTTCGCACAGGGTTATCGTATGTGATCCATTTCTCATCTCCAGTCTCCATCCGTTTAAGAAATGGGTCTATCTCATTCCGTTTGGCCAAGGCTTCGCAGATGGAAATTCGATCCATCATGTTTTTTTCTGTTAATTGGTGTGGCACCCAAACATCGAGCTTCTTTTTGAATCCAGCTTTGTGTAAATGGTTTAAAACTGTTTTATGGTCGATTTTTAGCTCCTGGGCGATGTTACGACTGCTAACATGCCGGTCAACTTCGATCATTTCTCCGATTTTATCGACATTTTCGACGACCGGCCAACCTGTGCGAGGTGCATCTTTAACATCAAAAATTCCTGAACGGAATCTACGAAACCAAAATTGCACATAATTGGCTGTTACAGTATCGGAACCATAAACACCATTCACAATTTTAGCCGCCTGGCTTGCATTTTCGCCTTTGTCAAAGAAAAACTGTAAAATGTACCGAATTTTCTCTTTGTTCACTTCCATTTTTAACACGCTGTAACTCACAACTGAATGCACCAAACAAAAAACAGCAAAAGAATTTTTTTTACTACGAAATGTCACTTTTCCAACGAGCATAAATATGAAATTGTTTGATCGATACTTTACGAGAAATCTATCAGTGCAGCCATCTACCGAAAAAATAATGGATTTCTTTTTCCCCAAACTAATATATTATCACGAACACGATTGAATGACTGTGTTCAATGAAATGGTGTAGAGTACATATAATGATCGACTTTACTCGTCTATAATGCTCTTACTTGTTTTTTAATTATTGTTGCACTTTACGTGAATTTTTTTTTTTTTTTTTATTATTTAAAAATAAAAATATTGTATTAAATATTTGTGCGCTATTTACGTACCTACGGCTGCATCTATCAGAAAATATGTGACAGAGATAAAGAACTATGTCGCATCTGCAATCCCTCATGCAATCATTTAAATCTAAACATATTGTTACGGAATTAGCCTTTCTTCATACGATCCGTGTCACAAGGTCATGATTTTTATTTACAATCAATTTGTTTAAGGGTAGAATTACTTACAGTATACTTAATTTGACAGCATTCTTAACTGAAACTTTCTTTTCAACTCAGAGGTTCTTTTTCCAACTGACTATGCCTTTCGCAAACATTCTGTTTGTATACATTTTTAAAAACATATTACTATTACCCACGTTCATGACTTCATTTTTAAGCCAGCAACTGCGTGACTCACCACGAACTTGCACTTTGGTTTTTCCCTTTCTCGGAAATTTACTTTCTGGGAAAATCAATTAGTTGGAATAAACTGGATTTGTGGTTTCCGTAACAATATGTTGTATATCGGTCACATCGATTCATATTATTAATTAATTAATCATGTTATTAATTAAATTTAGTGAGCAGAATTTTTTTTAAATTTATGTAAATAGACTTTATAAAGACTGTCCTTCTCTTGTCTCTAACGTAAGGAGGACGTCTTAAATATTAGAGCGTAGGGCTTCATACAACAAAATGGCTTTATTTATGACAAGTTCGATGAGAAAGGGATCTGAAATTGTCAAACCAATAGGTTCTGAAGAGAAGGGCTCCCATTAAAATTTTAAGTTTATAAATTTTGCATTACATTATGTTAAAAGAGACAGTTACATATTTCAGTTTTCTTAACTGAAGACATTTAAAACACAGTTATGTGTCTTTTTATATTAAGATTTATAACACCATATCTACACTTTAATCGACAATCTATAATTTCTAGAAAATGTTTTCGTCATGTTAGCCTTGTTGTTTTGAAGGCAAAGGAGTCAATTTGGACTTGGATTTTAAAGCGAACGATATCGATATCGACTTGGATAAATTCATGGTCTAAGCAAAATACGCTTTTTCTGAAGCCTTCAAATATCTGCAGTTACTTATTGGTAGCGTTCAAAGACTTTAAAACTGACGATGTGAAAGATTATCAAGGCATAGAGCTCTCTTCTATTCACCTCTACAACTAGAATCGCACTCACTCAACCGTTCTCTGAACTCTACAACAAATCTTTCCTCATCTAAATCTGTCTTCATGTACAAACTATTCTACTCATCATCCTTTAAACATCTTGCTTTATGTATATCCGTCCTTACACACTCTAAGTCCAAGTCCTTTTCTGCATCTGTTATCATTTCTTCTCAATTCCCTGTAATTCACATATCGAATCCTTCAAAATAGGTCATCATTCCTTCTCTATCTTGTCGTGGTGCTTGTGAAATTTTGATTGATTCTGCATCGATAAACATATTAAATGTATAATAGCTATCGTCTCCTTTCCACGTCGGCAATCGCCTTCTCTTATATAATAATATCGAAACTCATATTAATTGTGTTGGAGCATTGAAAGACCACCTTTATATCTTGTTTGGTCGTTGATACCTCTGCAAATAATATTAAGGATTCTGTAGCTTCTAAATATACGGATGTTAATCGGAACAGAAGCACGCATCGTCGAAAAAAACATTATTTCAACCAATCAACCAATATAGTCCAACCAATCATTTTATCCGCCTGACGTCCAATTGATAGAGTTATTCCCAAGACTAGAGCAAACAAGTATTTAATTGCCAATTGTAGAGGATACCTGTACTAAGCGCACTGCTTAAGATCGATTTATTAAAAGACAATGGACTTCAACGAATCTCGTTGAATTACGTTGTGGCGTTTGTTACATCATTTCTATTAGATGAAATTTAATTAATTAACGTTCGTAGTATCCTCCTGGTGGAACTCGTCAATTTCAACTAATTAAACTTGTATATTTTTAAACTCAATCCTAAGCTATTTACTCCTTCTTTCGCCTTCTTTGCAGGAATTTTAATAATATTTATTATTTAATTCCGATATCGGTATCGAGCAATATTATCAAAAAGCATGCATTCCGAATTCTCTCATTTTCCAAATCATTGATTCGCAAAATTTGCTTATTTACCACTATCTAATAGCACGCCACTTCCATCCTACACTTAACTACATATAACTTCATAATTTTTTAAGCTACGGACGTACATTTGGACGCTTACAAGCGTTTTTGTTTTTCATAAATAAATAAATTACGAATTTGAAGAGCTCATCGATCCAAAAAAAGATCTGCGTTTACTGTGTCGAGTATGTGCCTCAAACGACGTTACCTCCACACGTTATTTAAACGAATCTATCTAAGTATCATACTAAAAACGCCTTTATGTGCTGGACGAGCAGTAAGTTGTGATCTAGTTAAGCCTGGCAACATTTGTCCTTTGAACAAATGATGATAACAAAGTGCTGATCTGATCTGCAGGTCTAAGGATAGCGAAAAGCATTAAGTATCTTAAACGGTAAAATGTGAGATAAGATGAACTGCTCTACTTACTTTAGTGGGCTATTGCAGAAATGCGAAGGAAAAGACTTTCGACTTGACAACTGACATTTAATAAGCAATCTTGATGTGGTAACTACCCAAGAAGACGCATTTTAAAATGTTGCATTGGAAATGTTGTTCTTTCCTTTATGACTAAACTCGGTCTTAAGGTTGCAAACTTACTTAACAGCAGTAACGAACAAGTTAGATAATTATATTCGCTCGGGACGGTGAATCTTTTATGCCCATCACTGTTATCCTAAAAAAGCTCTATAATATAGAGTGAGCGCAGGTGATGTTTTTCTATTTTCAAAATAAAAGTTTTTTCATATAGGTGTGTAGACGTTATGGGCGTGTCCATGAAAAAGTTTACGTCACTTCCAAATTCTTTTGCAAATTTGTAAGCGATATATGCATTTTCACTAATGGGGAAATATTTACCACAAATACTACACAGTTGCGAAAACCTGACAGATGGACAGACAAACAGACGGGCATGTTTAGGTGCATTCCAAATTTGAAACTGACAAAGAATTTATATACTTTATGCGGTTTTTGAATCTTGATCCTGCGCCTTATAAAGGTGTTGAAAAAAAAACTAAATTTTGATACTTTATGATATGGGGTAGGTGAGGTCAAGTATTTTCCTTTATGTAGAAATGCTACAGTGTCGCCCATGCAATATGTGTTCAAATTTTTGTACATTTATCTGCTGTAGA